TATGAAGACGAGTTAGTCACTTTGTGAAAGTCTGTAAAATATTGTAAATTCATTTTCAATTTTTCAATAAAAACATGCTATTGTGGCATGATTGTGGGTTAAAAAAAAAAAAAAAATTTATATTAAATTAAACTCTTAATAAAGTTTATATCTAATATTAAAAAAAAAAAATTTATAATTTCTATATAACTTAATATATAAAATTATTTTATAAACTAAATATTCAAACCATTATATATTGTAAAATTATTTCTAAATATGATACATATAAAATCATCCAATCAATTGATATGCCATGTGATTAAACTCCGCTTCAAAATCTTAAATGCGCTACATCAGATAACAAGAAATCTTGATGCCTAATTATGACATGGAAAAATTTATCCAAGAATATTAAAGAACTACGAGTCCACTTTTGTCAAACTTCACCTGCTAGCAGGGGTGTTAGGTAATTCTACTGTCGAAAGTCATTTAAAGCGACTAAAATTAGACATTTTTTATTCTTTAATGATAGAGAGTTCATTGCCAACAACTATTCTTCAATCAAATCGGCTAACCCTCATTTCCCGATTTTGGTCCGCGAAGCAAGTGGAGTTGAAGCGCGTTTCTTTGCACGATACGGTATTTTAAAAGAATGAATTATTACGGGTTTATCCCGGGTAAGTTTTATTAAATCTATACTAACTTCAATTTGGTTATAGATTTTGGGAAGGAAAAGAAGGTTGTGTTAAACAATCTTTCGGCAAAAGAAGTAGAGTCCAAGTTAGAAGAATTGGTTACTCGGAACTCTTAAGTGAATTAAAATGCGTAGTTTAATTGAATTATATGGGTGAATATTCTAAGCTAGGTCGGAACTAAAATTTTTAAATAACGATCGCAGTACCTCACTATTCGCGAATATTCCATTATTACTTTATTAATTCATTAAATTATAAAAAGGTTTTCTTATTGATAAATTTAATGTAAAAAACGTTGCATTTTCTTAATTTATTTAATTGCAATTTCAAATTCTATTATTGTTATAGATCATTATCAATTATTTACTAAAAAATTATTTGAAAGTACAAGTTATATTTATTCAACTGTAAGTTTATGCGCATAAAACTTGATGTAACGAAAAAACATTAATTATTGTCTTCGATATCATTTTATAGCTGAAAATTAACTTAGGATTATATTATATCAAGTATGAATTTAATAATTAAATTTATAAAATAAAGTAATGCTTTTTAAAGAAAATAGAAAAATATACTTTAGGAAATTGAACTTATTATAAAGAACATGATTGAATATCTTTATTAATATATTTACAACTATTTGTTAAGAAAAATGATATTAATTTTAAATATAATTTATTTAATCTTTTTTGATTATTTTTAAATTAATTTCAAATTTCAATAACATTGATTTATTTATTTTTTAATAAATAAATAGACGAACTCTTTTACTTATTTCTATTTTTTTAAAATATAACAAAAATATTTCATTTAAATATGAATAAAATTATAAAACTATTTTTACTTATTTTACTTAATTTATATTTACTATAAATATTAACTTTAAATTAAAATAAAAAACTAATTATCAAAATAACTTAACAAACTGTTGACAATGATCCTGATAAATAGAGATCATAATTAATTTATCAGGGGAGTATAATATTGTCACCAAAATTTAACTTAGAGTACTTATATATGAAAATAAGTTAGTTATATTGTGAAAGTCTATAAACTATTATAGATTTTGTTTTAATTTCTCAATAAAAACAAGTCCTTATGGCATGATTGCAGATTAAAAAAAAATAATAATAATAATTATCAATAATAATAAATATATACAGTTGCTTCCAAAAGTTTGAGTTCACTGACTATGTTTTTATTATAAATTTCAACTTTGACAATTTTTAAATCCTTAATTATATAACCAAAAATTATAAAATTCAT